CCCGCCACCTTAGGTGTACGTGGCTGGCGCCTTAGCCGGTTGAGCTATAGGCGCCGAGCCAGATTTTGCTTTCTTTATACCTCAACTTTCTTGACTTCCCAAGAAAGATGTAAAGAATTAGCCCCCCTTGTCCATGATGTCCCAGTGTCTTTCATTAAAATGGACATTCTTTGCTCTTTTAATGCCTTTGATGATCTTTTTGTACCTTTCACACCTTTTGAGTTGTGCTATCCTTTTTATGTTTCAAAGGCTATTGCTTCTGTCTTTATGTATTGACCTACTGTCTCAGTAGGACTAATGATTTCAACTGGGAAGGTTTGGTCCTGTTTTGCCCCTACTTTTTCTGATTCCTTCCCTTTCTAGCCAAAGAGCCTAACTGGTCTAATACCTCCTGTCAGGATTTGTAAGAGTATCATATCTTCATGGCGAAAGTAGAGACTTCTCTGGCTAACTGGGGGAAACTGAAGTACCCTGTTAATGCACTTAGTTGGGAAAGATGGACAAAATCTAAGTGCAAGTTGTAGCAGTGACTTTGTCTATGCCTGACTCAAGGCTTACAATTGGATTATGGTTTGTCATGCTGTTTTTCGAAAGTCTTGCCAACTGTTTTTGCTTTTCTGATCTAGAATCTAGAAATGAGGGCTGCTGGAAGAAACACTTGAAAGAGCAATGTCAGTAGCTTAAGACATTCTTCAGGCCTGTCAACACTTCTTGTTATGTTAAAGTTAAGTCATTTTGCACATCTGATCTGGGATACGTTTTACATCTCTACCTTCCTACTGTCATTTTCATGAAGTCTTGGGTAGACTTACAAACATCTGAGGTTTTTTAGAAACTTCTCAAGTGATCTCAAGGCCTGGGGACAGTAAATAATAGTAATTGATAGCTGATTGATAGCTGTTCCACTTAGTTGTGTGACCTTGGGCAGCCACTTAATTTCTCTGAGCCTCAGTTTCTCATTTATGAAGTGTGGTTAAGTTTAGGTTGAGATAAGAATTAAATGAGGTAATATATGTAATGTCTGATACAACGTCTCATACATAATAAGCTCTTAAAAAATGGTAGCTACCGGGCGGAGCCTGTGGCTCAGTGAGTAGGGCGCCGAGGGTGGTGGGTTCAAACCCCGCCCCAGCCAAACTGCAACAAAAAAATAGCTGGGCATTGTGGTGGGTGCCTGTAGTCCCAGCTTCTTGGGAGGCTGAGGCAAGAGAATCATCTAAGCCCGGGAGTTGGGAGGTTGCTGTGAATTGTGATGCCACGGCACTCCACCGAGGGCAATAAAGTAAGACTATGTCTCTAAAAAAAAAAAAAAAAAAAGAAAGAAAAAAAAGAAATGGTAGCTACCTGTGGTACTACTGGAGTTCTTTCTGGTGAGGGTCTGCCTCTTAATACACAGAGAAGGGAGAGATCTTCCATTTTCCAACTTTTGTTTCTTGGTTATCTTATCCTCGAACTGACACAGCTGTGGGGTCTCTGCTGGATTTCTGTTGAAAGAGACCTGAATGGTCAGTGCAGAGAATGTGATGCCAGTGTGTGGCTAGTAGAGGATATGCCTAGTCCTGATTTCTCCTATGAGCCTAGCCAGTAGGGATAAAGTTCTCTTACACTGTTCAAAATGGAATCAATTAGTTACACATGGGTATTTAAGTTTAGTTAGAAAGTTAATTCCTCAGTTGCACCACATGCATCTCAAGGTTCTCAATCAATACATGTGACTAATGGCTACAATGTTAGTGTAGATAAAGTGCATTTCCATAGTTGCAGAAAGTTCTATTGAACAGCACTGTAAACCCTTTCCTGCAAAACTAGCCCTGGACCTAATTTACCTACCTCTTTTCATCTTTTCTATAAAAATGTATTTTTTTAATGGTACGAAAAACATGGCCTTTGGTTTAAATCATCAGCTTCTCAATGGATATAGTTCTGTGGGCAATTTAACTTACCTTAGCATCAGTCTTTTCATCTCTAATGTGGAGGTAGTTCAGGTAATTCATGAGGGTCAAGAATAACTAAGAATATATAAAGTATCTAGCACATAGTTAATTTGTGTCATCCTTCCACTCATGTGTGTAACTAATACAGAATAGGCATTCTAAACCTTTTCTCTCATCCAGACTCATGGGGGCTGCAGAGTGTGTTTTGTGACCTTGTCCAAAGTAACAGCACTCCAAAGCTACTTCAGTTTACTAAAAAAGGGACACAGGTTCTGAAGATCCCGAAAGATTGGAAGTGGTGTGGAAGGACACCCTGAAAATGAAAGGTCTACATTTATGTTTTGATGGAGAAGTGTGTGTGGTGGTGTGGGCACTCCCAGTCCTTTCTTAGGAGGGGGTCTGAGAGCCAGAAGGAACGACCAAGGACTCGTCCGGCTTTCTTTGAGCAGCTCCCACTCCCACCCGCCCCCCCACCCCCCGAACGTGGCAAAATTCCTCCCTTTGCAGCGCCAGGAGCTGTGCCTCACTTTCTCCATTAGCGGACTCCAGTTCCCAGGATGCAGAGCAGCGGCCAATCTCCTGTTTCTTCCATCCCCCTCTCGGGAAAGATTGCCCCTGACTAAAGCAAGAGGGCAGTTGGAGTTTCGGGGACCAATAATTGTAAGGGAACGGAATTAGAAAGTGGTCAGAGCCCTCGTTGCACTGCCTGGGTAGTAAAGGAGGCAGTTCCAGGGCCAGGGCGAAGAAGAGGGGGGCTTCGTTCCCACGTGTCTGCTGCACGGCCGCCGGCCCGGCGCAGTCGGGGTTAACCCGTAGCGGAGGGATCCGGCAGCGTGTGCGTAGAACTGCAAAGTCACAGCCTTTCCTCCGAGAGGGCAGTATCCCTCCGCCGCTCCGCTCCAACACAAAATAGGGCCGCATCTTCCCTTTTCTCCCCTTGTCGAGTGGGGTTCCCCGGGCAAAAGGACCTCCCGGATCTCACGTCGAAGGCTTCACGAATCTCCAGGACCGCTGCCTAGATCTCGGGCCAGGAAATAGCCCCTTCGCAGGAACCACCCTACCGGCCGAACAGGAGGCGGAGGGGGGGGAGGCGGAGCGGCGCCGCGCTGCACTACTTTCCTCTCCGGTTGCAAATGGCTGCCTCGTTCCCCACTTTCCGCTCAGTTTCCTGACCCCCCGGTGCCGGGAGCCGGGGTTAGGCCATGCACCTCTAGGCCTCCCGCGATCACAGCCAGCCAGGGGTCGAGAGGTTGCCACCGACCAGAGCCGGCCAAGCCGGGGGCGGGGCAGCTCCCGAGGCCAGAGGGGAAGGGAGGCGAGCGCTGGGCCTGGAGCGGCCGGAGGGGAGCGGGCAGAGGGCTCGCACCGCCCGCCCCTTCCTCTTCCTCGCCCACCTAGCCTCCTCCCTTCCCCGGGGGGAGCAGAGGTGGGGGGCTCGAAGCCGCCGAGGGTGAGCGCTTGGGGTCGAGAAGCCCAGCGCTGAGTGTGTGTCAGGTTCAGCCCCGCGGCCCCACCGGCTCCGCGTCGCGGGAGCTCGCGCGGCCCCAGGGCGCCGGCCCAGGCGGGGAGAGGGGCTCGGCTCTCCTGTGAGGGTCTCACGTTCCATCCGGGCCCGGCGCGGGGCGGCGCGGCATTCCTTCCGGGCTGCTGGGGAGGTGCCTCGACGTTCCATCTGGAGAGCCTCGACGTTCCGCCCGAGCCCGGCGCGGGCGGCCGGGGC